TCTTGGAGAAACAGTCGATTAGTATATGGTTAATATTTTGGTCAGCGTTATTGATTAGGCTTCATTTAATTACGAAACGAAAGAGGCGTTACTGATTTCGTGGTTTTGTGGGAATGACACGGTTAATCGATAGGGACGAGTTTTGTATCGAATAGCTGTCATCGAATAGATTTGGTACGCACTAGTCCAGCGTGATGGGACGATATAGGTACTCGGAAACTTGTTCTAAAGTATATATATTCTATTAATACTTTTTGTTGTGAATAATAATGATTATAATGATTTTTAATTACTATTTACCAAAATTATTTTGTATACAAATAAATTAAAAACTTCTTAGCAAATTCGAACCCACGAGTTGAATTATAAATTTGTAAAAAAGCATATTTGAATAAAGATTATTCTCAATTATTGATCAAATGAGAATAATTTACCAAAAGGCGAAATTAATGAGTGAAATAAAAATTAAATTAATAAAAAAATAAAGGCGTACCTATGAGTAATAAATTCTATACTTATTTTTGTAATGTATTACTTAGAATATCAATTGCAAAAAGAATTATTAAAATCAGTTATCCGAATTAGCGAAAAAATTTCGTAACATTATAAATAAGGAATATACAGGTGAATCGAAAATCATCTTCTTTAATCCTTTTTAAATGAAAGTATCTGACCTTTATAAGCTTAATCTCCGGGAATAGTAAAAAAAAACAAACAACTTAAAGAAAACGCAATCATGGAATGAGGAAAACAATAGCTCGTAAGCAGCACCTAAAGACAAATGCCTTGATTTATTATCTATCGCAAAAACCATGGATGCGGATCTACAGTAAATTTACTCCTTAATACGCTTATAATAGGACCCAAAATTGAATAGCTCCTGTGTTTCGACTCTAATGAAGTTCTAGGTACACATCTGACGTTTATTGTCCGTTTTTGTTAGACAGAGATAGCAATATAGTTGTTCCGTTTTTCGAATCACACTATCGATGGTAGAGTTGTAATAATAATTGTGATTGGTAGTGGATATCTATGTTATCGATAGGACATCACTATTAGTTACTAATTAATTTTCTATGCAGTTTAGTTTTTACTTTCTTATTATTGATGCATAAACTGTAATGTTATCAATTTATATGAACATTTATAATCTCAAAGAAGATTTATAGAACAGTGACCACTCAGTCGGATAAGGCAGTTCAAGGATTTATAATTGATTATGTTTGGATTCTTTTAAAATAATTGTTTCTTTGTTTGTGCTTTGGAAGTTCCTTTTTTAAAGGGTGAAAATAAAATGGCAACCCCATCTGCGCTATCGATACAAACTGATGAGATACAAGTGAGAAATGATAGATGACAATGAAGCAGGTCAGTTGGTCCATTGTGACTTATACAACAAGAACTGACCACAGTGGTTTCCAGAGGGAGCCACGTGAAGGTCGATCTGATAGGATATACTGCTACATGGGGCTGTTAGACCTCTTCACTAACTATCCCATTCCTCCCAATAATTCCTTTAAGACATGAACTTGGAGCATATGTAAAACCATAGGCCGGTAAGCTACGTCGCTGTGTCAATCAATAAAATTTTCCAAACCCTCCAATAGAGGGTTAGGTGAAAAACTTGGGCCGGACCCCTTTTCTATATATTACGAAGGCAGTCTAAAAACCCTTGACACTAGAGGACGACACTCTTATAAGAATAGCTGCCTTCAAAGTAGTTTAAGAGTTGCATAAGTAAATACAAAAGTACAGATTTTGAAAAACTGCTAAGAGTCAGTTTTTGAACTATTAGGGACTTTTGAGGGCAATTACTAATTTTGTTAATATGTCAATTAACAATTTTAACTTCATCATTAACAAATATCTTATTAGTAATAATTCAATGAACTACTCTGTGTGCGGCAAATAGATATAATATTTTGAAGAAGGATAAATTTTTGCGAAGTAAAATTCATTTAAGAAGGCAGTGTTGAGCAAAATCTCTATACTAATCGATAAATGAAAAAAACATCGACAAAGAAAAATCATTCACGCGTTGTAGTCACTAGCTACCTACAGATATCGGCGCGGGTTCATCAAAGTGCGCCGTACAGACAATAACTGAGAAATATTAAATTATAATAAAATTAACTCGGCCTTGCTTTTTGTACCGTTACCGTGTCCAGTCTTATGAATATTTAGAGAGTACGTGTATTTTTTTTTTATAATAATATTTTTTCTGCAACCGTAAATTTAATACACTAGAACACAAAGTCGCTTCTCAAATTGTAGAAAGTCAATGAGTATTTATAAATTTTCCAGATGATAACCGTGACTTTGTTCATGTAACAAATTTTAAGTCCAGTCTTGAACTTTGCCAACTGTCACCGATGCTAGTTAAAATTATTTTTTATATATTAGTTTTTTGACATATAGTATAAACACATAATGTAATATATAGTACAATCACACCGATCGTGTTAAGTCTTCAATTTAAGATATTCTGTATTAACAGAATTGTGAAGGCATACCTAGGAAACCCAAATTTTGAAAAGTTCGTCTCTCAAATTCGCCGCACCGAAATTCGAGGCCTTCTTATGTAAAGCAGTGTCCCTACCATTATGATGCGGAGGCCATCAAATAGAAATGCATAGTACAACGGTACTAATGTAACAAACTACAGATAGGCCGATTTTGGCTCATACAATATGAAAAAGCAGTAATAAAATCAAATACATATATATTTTAACTTTATATGATCAGAGGAAGACTTTCTACAAAAGCCATTTGTTTGGTTACATATGTCCCATTCGTATTTTTGTAGTAAAGCAGTTGTATTTATATAGCTATGTTTATATTTGAAGGGCAATTAAATTATATGGTACAAAGGCATAACACCTTAGTCAGGAATGGCAATGTATGAAGGATATTATGGACAACACAGTATACATTGTTAAGTTCATGGTATTATTTATCTATAGATCTATAGGTGAGGATTATCAATTTCTATCAGGTGGGCCGTCAACTTGTTTCATTTTAAGTTGCATAAAAAATACAATATAGCAGTTCTTAAAAGGAAGAATGATACTTGTCTAATTCTCCAAATAAACCAACGTTTATTAACATTCCTATTGTAAAAACTGTCTACATTTATATAAAACATCATATATGGTCACAAAAATTTCCTAATCACATTCATAAATGTTTACACTATTTCGCCATAGCCGCCTCTACGCTTTCTATAATCAACGCCATCCCACGGATGCACTTCATTCGATGTACGATGACGATTATTCATTCTGCACGGTGACACATAACGAATCAATCTGATACGAATCAAATCGAATCGATGCATCGTTTCCGAACATGTTGCCGCACTGGTCGCTTAGAAAAATATAATATTGTCATAGAGTAGGAATGAAGAATTTACGCGGGAAATTTGTTATTGATTGATATTCTGTAATAGCAAGGATAGAAATGATATAAATAAAAAAAAAAAACATACGGCTTTTTTCTTTTTTAGAGGCATTCGCCCCGATATTGGGGTATTTTGCCAAACAGTTTTATTTACCTAGCAAAATTCGCAAAAATAAATTTCAAAACTTTTAAACAATGTTTGTTATTTTTTTATTTACTTTTCCATGAAATTTATGGATACAATACAATATTTGCTATCACAATTGATAATTAATTAGTTAAGTAGGTATGTTTTTTATTTTATAATATATATAATATCTACGTCTAGCCTGTAGTCGGATAATTACTGGGTACGAAACGATAGTGCACTATCTGCGACCGATATTAAAAAAGTCTTGCCTTTTAATTATATGTTCTGTAATCTACGTGTAGGTAACAAAAGAAAAAATGTGTTTACTTATTTAAATATTTCTCTTAACGTCTATCGTTTAAAGTCTATTTTTAAGTGGACAGTGATTTGTAGATAAAAAATAAGTCGAACGTACACACATACGGTGTAATTATAAGGTTGTGACATAATTACTATGTGCCGATAAGTATTGTCTATGGCAGCGTTTTTTTTTCTAACTTCGGTGTAAAAGAAAATAAAAATGTTCTATTTTAGATGATATAAGTTTTATTTTTATATTACGTTTAGTTTGACAATTTGTAGTCAATAAGTGAACTTTATTTATTTATTTGTAAAAGAAAAACTAACAAGATAACAAAAATGAAGTCACTTATAGATTTTCACCAATAGACGTAATATACAAAATTTGACACTATTTGCCTCGGATAAATAACTCAAAGAGTAAAGAACAATTTACAGATGAATTTTTCGTACTTAAGTGTTAAAACCAGAGAGAGACTATACAAAAATTGCTGCATTCGTAGGTACTAACCTATTGAAGATGACAGAACCAGTTAAGGTTATTATCGACCGAATATACTCAAATATCTAATATACTCCACAGACCCCAATCTTGAAGAAGTGCTATGTCTTCAATCTCATATCATGTAATTTCAAACTGACTTCAACTTAAATCATATACTGCTATGCAAACATTATTATTTGGTAGAACACGGATAGGGATAGAGGTTACTTCCATCAATCTAAGAATTAAAGCATAGTACGTTACTCCTCAGGACTAGGATCAATGGGATACAATGGGTATTGGTTGAATTTGGTACATCAGTTGGTACCATCTCTGGAGCTGTTTATGTTTATGAATATATTTCTATTATTTTCTAAAATATCTAAGATGTATATTTTTTATACGACAAAGGTACACACAATCATACAGTGCGTCTGATAGTAAACGGTATATTGTATCATTAGATATAATAGAAAAATATAATCATTAATTAAAATGAAATCTTGCGCCACAACCATAGATTAGTATAAAAATAACACCATAGACAATAAACTGTCAAACTAGAAAAAAAAATCTTTTGTACTCTTTTAGATAAAGGATTTTATAATTTCAAGAAGATAAAAAGGTTAAATAAATAAATGTTAGGTATTCAAAGCCGTAAAATTAAAAAAAAAATAAGTCACTAACCTGCGTTTGAGTTAAACCTAAACTCGCGGCTAGTTCCGCCCTTTCGGGAAGGGCGAGGTACTGCGTCCTTTGAAACCTTCTATTCAACTGCTGGAGCTGAAGACTGGAGTATATCGTCCTGGGTTTCCTCATTTTCTTTCCTTTGCCATTCACCCGAAGACCTGGGTCGTCGGAAAGACCGCATTTCTCTGAAACAAATTGATACATACATACATACATATCTGTCACGCCTGTCTCCCATTAGGGTAGGCGGAAACAAATTGATATTAACTAGATATACACTTTATTTGGAGAATTTTATTAGAGATTTGTACATACTTTATCTATGTAAGGTATGTTTTTTTAACAGATTTAAAAAAAAATCGTATGTGCACTGATTTCTCCGTTAATTATGGATCGATTTTAAAATCCTTTTTTTTATTATTGAAAGTACATTCAAGTAAAATTATATTCAATTATTTTTGTATTAATTTCAATATTAAGAAACTTTTCTTTTTGGTTTTAGGTATATTAGTAGTACTTGCTTTTATTCATGATTCCAGATTCAAAATTCATTTTTTTTTAAGTCTTTTTGACTTGATTGTAAGACCTTTAAGCCAAATTATATTTTCAACAAATTTATCAGTGAATACTGACCACTTATATTTACACACATATCAATTAAAGATTTATGAATTAATTTCAATCTAATGTGTCGACGAAATATATTGTTGTAATTTTTTTTTAATAGATGATACTGGAACTTATGATACTATACATTGGCGGGGCACCAGTGAGAGTAAGGCTGTCGTGGTTCTTAATTAATTAATCACGATTTTTTCCAGGGAGAACCTCGTAGAGGTCAAACTAATGGGTATAATATTAGCAATAAAGTAGCTAGACCTATTAAGTTACTATGAATGTTCTTCACCCCTCCCCATTGTTGTATTTTGTTGTGATTGAAGCAGCTACTGCTTTTTGTGGAGCAAAATACACATTTTTATTATATTACAGAGTAAAATATTGATATTAGACTAACTAGTTCACGTCAAAATTCCAAATCTATAACAGAACCTAAAACATTCAGCCGGCGCACACCCCCTCCGTAAATCAACACACACAAAACAGCGCAATAAATCTACAATATAAATATTCAAGCCATACGATGCCCCGTGAATGTTCGCCATCCATTTTGTAAAATATATGAAAGCCAGTCGCTACTTGATAATAGTCAGTGGTAACTTGTAATTACTGGCTTTATATCGCCCCATCGGATCGCCGCAAGACCAACAACCCGACACCCAGCTTTTTGGCGGTAAGAATGCGTCTTGTCGATACGCAACTCGGAATATTCAAATCTCGAACGCTTTTTGATCTCTTTAAAATTTAATATTTGGAACGCTGTGTAGGTATTTTAAAAAATATTGTGTAATTTTTTCACGTGGTGGACTCTCGTAATTTTTGATTTATTGCCACAGATAATGTATAAATGGGTTCGTACACGCATCGGTATTTTCGGCACCCAGTGTTACTTGCGCTATTAAGTTTCGATTCGAATTTTATTTGAATTTCACATGCATTTCGTATCCGTAACGATGGTAATGGCGAGTAGTACGCGGTACAGAATGTTTAATGTCCCTATGAGTGGTTTGATATATGAGGTTCGCTTGGCAAACTGTTATGCATATCTAGATGCATCATAACATACGGGACGGCTGGAGTTTCCATTTCTAGATGCTATTATCATTTTGAAATTCCCAGTTCTCTATTTTTAATTTACGAAACGGATACGGCTATAAATCTGTTGGATAATTTATAACACTATCTGCTCTATCTTGTTTTTTTTTTCTCAGTTCTAACATGTGCATAGCAAAAGTGTTGTATTGCAGCCGTTTATATTGCTATCAATGTGGGGACTAATCGATGCAATTGTCTATGGTTTAAATACAGTTATTAAGTAATCAGAATGCAAATTGAATCATTGAATTACTTTATTACACCTTTACAGCGTTTTCTTTGAAATATGGTAAAACAGAAGTACATTTTGCTCAATGATACGTGCAATAGTGAAAAATGTTTTGTAGACACCGTAGATTAAGATATTTTAATTTAAATCTCGGAATTGTCCGTTTAAAAGGAGAATTGAGAAAATATACAGTTTTATTTGACATGAAATTAATATGCATCAACAATAGTAAACTCTATCGATGATAAAAATATAAGGACGAATTAAGAATCTTTTTCTATTGGATATCGCTTAGATTTGTTTCTTCTACTATTTGCGATTTTACGGTTTAACAAAACATCATGAAATTTAGCATAAATGTATTATTTGGAATGGAGATGGACGTAGGCTGATTTTTATCTTAGCCACGTGGACGAAGCCGTATGCATGGCTAGTATAGAATAATTTATTAAAACAAACGTAATGAACGAATATAAGATTTACCCACCAAAAATATTCCCATGTCTTCAATACAAAATTTTATATCTATTATACATATATATGTGTGTACGTCCGTCAAACAGACGGACAAAACAATGCAGCGGGCCCCGAGGTACAGACACACCCCCGGACGGTAGTGATGTCGTGATTCCCTTATCGATAATAGGGATGTACCCGTGTCCATTAATCGATACATTTGTAATATATATTTTGTTATAATTTAAAAACAAATATATGTTTCATTTTTATTACAGCCAAAAAATGTCGCAATAGACATGGAACCATCTTTGTTAATTAAATGATATTCTTACGACTATTTTATATATTTTTTTCAACCGATTTTAAAAAACAAGGAGGTTCTCAATTCGATTGTATTATTTTTATATTTATCACTTCATAACTCCGTCATTTATAAACATATTTACAATTTTTTGTGCATTCCTTTACAAGTTTTTATTTAACTTGCTGTACTTTAGTATTTCCATTCAAAATTTGCAGTCTTACTATACTTATGAAACTTAAGACATTACAATATTATGGCATCATCGAGCTTGTCCGACGATGAAGATTCATGAACTACGTATGATAAATTCGTCATACTTGGGCTTGATTGATTTATTCGAATAAAAACTGTAATTCCATATTGTGGACAGAGTCTGATAATGAAGCCTAAAGGGAAATGATTTTTAAAAATTACTTTTAAACAAATTTGTTTATCATTATTAATCAAAATTTAAAGACATGTAATTTACATGTAGAAATCTCGTCGTTTGTTGATGCATTATATTTTAAAACACGAAATATATACATATATCATAATCAGGTAAACTTTTCGTTCGTTGGCCTCTTTTGTCATAAAAAAAAAATTCGTCACGAGTGATGTCGCTGCTTTTTTTTGGAGCAAAATTTGTTTCGTAATACAGACAATAACTCTCAAAATTTCCATTATTAGTGTAGATATAATAAAAAAAAATATTATTTTAAAACTAATAATATAATTGAAAACATCATCGTAGTGAAGCGTCCGTCGCGCCGGCACGCATGCGCTCAAACGCACCCCGCCCACACGAAGCCGCCTACCGAAAAACCGAGTATAAAATATATATAAAAAACAAAATAAAAACACACCAAAAACAATAAAACCCTTTTCCTTCACCTTCAACAAAAAGGTTTTTTAAAAACCACACCGGGAACAGACGAGCGATTGTTAGAACAGTTTTGTCGCTGTTATGTTTAGGGTACATTTCAATAAGAGTTTATATATTGTAAAATTTCTCAGATGTTATTAGATAATAAATGTGTAAAATTTCAATATTTGATTAATAAAAAAAAAAAACTTTGATCATAATATAGCTAATAAAAGACCTACACGGAAGTAAACTTTGTCGTTAGCAAAAAGAAATTGTTGACGTCTTCATTCCATCATGGATCACTTACTGATGGAATTATCAGTGGTATTATATTTTAATGGATGATAATGGAATGATAATTAAAGCAAATCAGTTGACCCATCGTGATGAATTCGACAAGAATTAACCATAATAGTTTCCAAAACAACCGCGTGGAGATCGACTTGGCAGGCTATTTATGAGCAGGCGAGTTGGCAACGGTAGTTAGACTTTTGGTGATGTTTTAAGAGGGTCCCTGTGTCCATTTCTCGACTATTTGAGCCTAATGTGACAGGAATTGACTTTGCATAGTAATATGTAAAATCCTAGAAGATAATCTATATTAATCTATGGAACTATTATTTGGATTGGAAAAAATCTTTTTGCATTTGATAGTTAATTTCTTGGGAAAGGTTATTCAATATCATTCCACGATACGAAAAAAGCCAAGATATATAGCTAGTTTAGAATATTTTTTTAAACTGTGCAGTATATCCTATTGATATAATAAATTCGAAAGTTTGTAACGATGGATGGATGAATGTTTGTTACTTTTTTACGCAAAAACTACTAAACAGATTTAAATGAAATTTGGCACACTGATAGGTTATATCCTAATTTAGTACATAGGATACTTTATGTACTAATTCACTCAAATGAAACAGCAGGATAAATATTTAAAACAAGAGAAAGATGATACGAACATTTTTGGGTTTTTGTCTTCGAAATGGAACACGCCGGCGATTTTTTGTGGATCGTCTACATGGACATATCAAGTGAGCGAAACTGGCTCGTTGCCGGTTCACAATAAAGAAAACTACAAAACTAAGTGATGTACCCATAACGCGGTTTTTATTACGGAATAGTTCTTATGGGAAACGAATTATAATTTTTAATTACTTTCACTTTTAAATTTTTATTTTTTTAACTAGTTATGTCCAGTGTTTTTTCCTGCGTTTATTAGTACTAACTTTAGCGCCGGTTAATTCGTACGCGTTAATTTTAGAATAATATTTCTCAAAAATAATTCAACCTTGTATTATATTTGGTATAATACAAGGTTGAATTATTTTTTTATTAATACGTTATGGTAACCGTAACCCGTTTAACACCAGACGGGCCGTATGCTTATTTGCCACCAAAGTGGTACAAAAAAAACAGTAATTCATTTAGCTATCATTGTTACACTTATATAATTTAACTAAATAAACTACTGAAGTGATGATTGATAAAATCTCTATGAGAACAATCTGTAAGCATATCTATCGTTTCAGATAAAAATAAAATTTTCGAAATCGGTTTAGAACTGACGGAGACATGAGGTAACAAACAAAAAAAGAAATACAATCGAAATAAGAACCTTATTTATTTTTTT